CGCTGATTAAAGTCATTGATGACAAAGGCCGTGTGATTGAACAAGGTCGTGACTTGTCTGAGTTAAAAGCGCGCTGCCGAACGGAAACTCATAGTCCAGTCAAACAGCTCAAAGGAGAGTTCCAAACTTTCCCTGAAAATTTTGTGTTTGAAGCATCACAAAAAGTGACGGGCGTGGTGGTGAAGCAGTATCAAGCTTTGGTCCCGACCAAGACATTTGCAGCACTGGAACAAAAGGATGAGTCTGGTGTCGTGATTCAGACTTTTAATGATCAAGCTGAGGCAACTAAACAGCACCGCGAGGGTGTACTTCGTTTGGTGCATATACAACTGGGAGATTTGGTCCGTCAGTTGAAAAAGCAAATTTCCAAACCGTTGGCATTGGCGTATTCGCCTTTGGGCGATAAGGCGCAACTGGAACAAATGCTAGTTTATGCCACACTGCAAATGTCGATTAATGAATTGCCTGTTAATGCACAAGAGTTTGAAAACTTAGTTGCAAATGTCAAAAAAACTTTTCTGACCCATGGGCAAAAAGCACTGGCAGATGTGACAGAGATCTATATCCAATGGCAGGATATACGTCGAAAACTGTTGGTCTTAGATGATGCGGTATTTGGGAAAAATATTGATGATGTTGAAGATCAGCTAGATTTGATGTGCTTATCAAACTTTGTTTACGTAAAATCTTCCGACATTTGGCTTGAATTTCCTCGATATTTGAAAGCATTGGTCTTGCGTTTGGAGCGCCTGCCCAATAACCTACAGAGGGATAATTCTGCCATTGATCAAGTTGACCCGTGGATGGAAAAATTATTTAAGTTTAAAAATGACACTCGCCTTAAAGAATTGTATTTCATGGTTGAGGAGTTTCGGATTTCTTTATTCTCTCAACCGATGAAGACAAAGATGCCCATTTCTCCGACTCGCTTGCAAAAAGTATGGGAAAAGCTTGGAATCAGTTAAGATATAGGTAATTTAAAGAAGGAGTTTTACATGGGCATCCGCATTACAGGTACGGGTCTTTATCATCCTGAAGACATCATTACCAATGAAGAGTTAGTTGAAAGTTTAAATGCTTATGTGGAACAGTATAACCTAGACAATGCTGACAAAATTGCTTCGGGCGAGTTGGAAGCCCGTCGTGGGTCAAGCGCAGAGTTTATTGAAAAAGCGTCTGGTGTAAAACGTCGTTATGTGGTTGAGAAAACAGGGATCTTAGATCCGAAGCGTTTACGTCCATTGTTACATGAGCGTTCAAATGATGAACTCTCGATTCAAGCCGAATGGGGCGTGATCGCTGCAAAACAAGCGATGGAAAATGCAGGCGTAACTGCAGAAGATATCGATGTCGTAATTTTATCATGCTCTAATTTACAGCGTGCTTATCCTGCTGTTGCAATTGAAATCCAAACAGCATTGGGTATTCAAGGCTATGCCTACGACATGAACGTGGCATGTTCGGCCGCAACCTTTGGCATTAAACAAGCCTATGATGCGATCAAAGCGGGCGGACGCCGTGTATTATTGGTGAATGTAGAAATCACCTCTGGTCATACCGACTACCGTTCACGTGATTGCCACTTTATCTTTGGTGATGTCGCAACGGCTTCAATCATTGAAGAAACCGACAGCAAAACTGGTTTTGAAATTGAAGACATTAACTTATTCACACAGTTTTCAAACAACATCCGCAATAACTTTGGTTTCCTAAACTTAAGTGAAGTCGATGCAGACATTGAAAACAATCGTTTCGCTCAAGACGGTCGTAAAGTGTTCAAAGAAGTTTGTCCACTGGTTGCCAAAATGATTACAGCGCAACTTGAGAAAAACAACATTGCACCGACTGATGTGAAGCGTTTCTGGTTACATCAAGCCAATGCCAGCATGAATGAGCTGATTCTGAAATTGGTCGTAGGCAAAGAAAATGCTCAGCCTGATTTAGTACCGATCATTTTAGATGAGTTTGCAAATACCTCTTCAGCAGGTGTCATCATTGCGTTGCACCGCACAGCAGACCAAGTCAATGACGGTGAATACGGTGTCTTGTGTTCATTCGGCGCGGGTTACTCTGTTGGTGCTGTGCTTGTGAAAAAACACGTCGCATAAGCCCGTATGTTGCAGGTTGAACATGATGCAAAATGGATTAAACGCCTGAGTGCTTTATCCAAAGTTTATTTCACACCGACATTTATCGGTGCTGAACAGTTAGATGCATCACAACCTGCAATGTATGTAGGAAATCATTCTATGTATGGTGTGCTCGATTCACCTATGTTGATTGATTATCTCTACAATGAGCATCAAGTGGCTGTGGTCAGTATTGCTGATCATAGCCATTTTTATTTACCACTGTGGCGTAGTGTGGTGAAAAAATTTGGTGCGGTCGATGGCGTTCCAGCCTATGTGCGTGAAGCCAT